TAGTCAAGAAAAACAAACAAACAAAAAACAAAGCCATATATAACAATACTTAACCAGTTTGTTCTCTGGTTGCTGAATAAACTCTTTCAGTTGCTTTACAGTAGTCAGTCTTCGATCTCTGTCATCTTCCCGAGTAATCCTCCGAAGAAGATTTGACAGTCGAGACTCATCAGAGTAAGACAATGATCGCTCTAGAAATTGAGATAATGGCACACATGCATGTCCTTCTCTCCCAAAATCAGACCAATCCCCATAATAATAAACAATCCATTCCCATGAAAATAGATCGGCTACGTTTAGTTTAACTTTGTCCACAACTATCCTGTTTCCCTGAAAATAAGACCTCCCCGGATAATAAGCCCAATTGGGCTTTTAGGCCCATGGGCTAAAATAAGCCCTCCCCGAAAATACTGCAAACACAGCAGCAGCCATGAGGTGACCACGCTCTCCGCCTCCCGCACCTCAAAAATAATAAGACCTCCCCAAAAATAAGGACAAGCGCTTATTTCGGGGGTCAAAAGAAAGTATGACCCTGTCTTATTTTGGGGGAAACACTAACTTTGCTTCAGGACTTTTGCTCAGAAAGGAACCAAAACCCGTAAAAAATGGCCACCCCCAATTTAAAAAGAAACCCTTTTATTACAATGTTCACAGGGCAACAGTTCACTTGATTTAAAATAAACCTTAGTATAATTATACCCAGTATTAGAATTTCATATTTTCAAGCCCTTGAACATGGTTCTAATTTTAGGAGACATTTCCTATGGTTACTATAATAATAAAACCAACTCAAAGCAACAGCCCACTTTTGACTGGCACACTCAGTTCTTACCCTGTGTTTTCCTCATGTCTTTTGTGACTAAAGCACGATTCCCATGCTGAACACTGGTAAAATCAGAATTGGTCACATTGTTAACTCTCAGCTCTTGCCCCAACGACTTCCGACCATAAGTATTTTCCCCAGATCCTCCATTGACACTGTAGCCACCTGGATTAAAACCAGTTTTTTTAAGGAAAGCATTAGAATCGCTTGGAAATTTCACCATACCCTACAGCAGAAGCTGACAATGTTTCCCCCCCCCCGGGGGGGGGGAATGAAAGCCACCCATTGACCATTAACGTTAGGTCCTGATGTTGCAAGGAGCTGTCATCCTATCTGGCCAATCCTTTCTCCTGCCCTCAAATTAAAAATACTTTATAGCCTCCTCCTCCTCCAGGAAGCAAGCCAGGACAGTAAGTGGTCAGTATTTCAATATTCCTTATATCTTGCTACTTAAAAAAGGTTTCTACCTGTAAAAAGCATTTTGCTAGTTAGCATAGCTGTGATGATACAATTACCCCCATCTATAACAAAATGCAACATAGCACAATAATGATTCCAATAGAAACTGACCAGAGGCTTGGTGACAGCCACAAAGTATCTAGACTAACTCATTCCTTTTAGAGCCGTAACTGTTTCATATCAAATAAGATCATCTTTATACCTTTTTCTTCATTCTGGAGGTCAGTGGAGACTCTGATATCATCATGTCTATGTCGAGACACCACCGTTGAATTTGAAGGTTGTAATCCATAGGAGGAAGAACTACTCCGGTCTCTGGATGAAGAGTATTTTAAATTCTCTTGGTCAGCTGATTGATTGTCACTTCTGCAAGAAGAAAAAAAATCTGTGAGGCGCTTTCAAACCTTGGCCCCTAGAGTTGGCTTACGTTTAGAATATCTAATGTCATTCATTCGTTCATTCATTCATTCGCTGCTCATCTCACCACAAGGTGACTGTGAGCGGCTAAACATATATAAACCAAAAGGGCTGAATAATAAAATGACAAATAAAATAAACAAGTTAACAAGTAGAACTTTTTAACAAACTGATTGATATCAGTTCTTCACAATGTCCTAAGATGGGCAAAACCAATGGTTTATTGCCAACTGCACAAGCCAAGAAGAAACCTCTGAGCCAAGAAGACGCTATTTTTAATTTTGGCCACCAAGAAAATCAAGAGCTCTTCTATGCATTAAGAAGCAAATGCACCATCAGCAGACTAAAACTAGAAGATGTCTCCTTCTTAAGAAAGTTCATCGGAGCGCCTTCTCAAATATGTATTCAGTGTTCCCAGCATTTATGCTCAACACTCTTTCCTCCACAATCTTTTATCACACCCACTGCAGAGAACAATTCAACAAGGAGCAGGTTCAGAACATCCCATTGTGACAAGCACCATGCAGAGGAGGAAAAGATGCTATATTATTACATTGAGGGTTAAAACACATCCTCTTTTCGTTCACTGTGCCCGTGGTGTGAACAAAATCACTGTGCAAAGATACGAGGCAGGAATGTTATTAAACCGCCACACTGGGTCATTTTCCAAGAAAGAAGCAGAGGTGTTTACATTCTAGCTTGTATCTACACTGACGTCAGCATAAATGTACACAACTCTACAGACAAACTAGCAAACATCACTGGATATTCTGACAGCTTTCAGCAAGGGCTCGGCAGTTCGTATGCCCATAATCCCCTGGGACTGGATAACATGGATACAGAAGCATTTACAGAATTCCATTTTAAAATCGTGCATGAACATTTTCTTATGAGTACCATAACGAATAAATAAGGAACCACTGTTAAGTTTCTTTCTTTTACTCTACTATAAAAGTACATATCCAAACATTTTTTGCATACTGGTTTCTGAGAAATGCACAATACATATTTTTTTCCATGCCATTCCAAGTTAACCCATCACAACATCAAACTATGTCATGCATAAATAAACAGTTGCTCAAGGAGTGGGGTGAGACAACAGAGAGATCTATTCATTTTTAGATATTAAAACCCATAAAATGTAGGTCACATACTATAATGCACGAATATCCCATATCTCAGTTAAAAAAAAAAGCCCAACATGAATATGAAGTGAGCATGTCTTTTACACGCTTTAGTAAACAAAATGGCTTTTGGAATCAAAAATAGCTAATACGTAAAGCTGCCTTAATGAAGCAATGATGGTGATGGTTATGATGATGATTAACCCAGATCATTGGGAAGGACCTGATGGAGGGGGGAGCCAAATCCAGGGTAAAGATCTGGCTGATTGTGCCAAGACTCATAATAAAGAGTGCTACTTTTATATTTTATTAAATTTATTATGACCACCCCTCTAGGAGATTGGGCAGCTTACAAAATCCAAATAAACAATTAAAACAGTTTTAAAAATGAAATAAAACATGGCAGTCTGAACTAAAATCAACCATAAAAATTAAAACACACAACACAAGACACACAACCCTGAGGGTTGGGAACAAAGCCAAGATCTTAAGGGCCTCCCAAAACCCTAGTAGAGTTGGCAAAATGTATGCACGTGGGGAGGGGGAGAAATGCTGTTTCAGAGGGCAGGGTCAGCAACAGGAAATATCTTGTGGAGAAACAAAAGCCAATACAGCCATCGCTTTCAAGAGATGTGGAAATACTAAAAGTTTCAAACGCCTCATTTTGTCTCAATATATAGAAATAGTAGGCACCTAATGTCCCCAGTTGCAGCCACACCTTGCTAATAATCCTGAAACTGAATGAGAATTTCTGAATACTATGCATAGGACAGGATTGCACATTATGTCAATAAACGTTTGGTTTGGTTTCGGATGTACAAATCAGTAACAGTCGCTTATTGAAGAAAAAAGGTTAAAATAAACAAGAGCTTAATAATATAATGTAGGGCTCTGGCATATTTTGATATCATACAAACTGAGTCACCATGCAACTGACATGTTTTTATTTATTGTGAGGATTTGTTTAATCTCCATAAATGTAGAGTATTTAATTAAAATAGTCTAAAGTCTCTTTTTTTTCATATAGAACAATGCAATTGCAGGACCTGTGACCTTATAATCTACACACACCACTAAGCTAAAATATTATAGATCAATCAAATGCCTAGGTTCATACAACATGCTACGCCAAGACATATTATGGCTTAGTATGATACAAGAATGCAGCCCTTGTTAAAAGGGAACTAAATAATGTATGGCGCTGTACATGGGTTTCCCTACACATAAAATTGCAAAAATCATGTGCCGTTGCAGACAGACAATGGAAAACGAATACTAAGAAGCTGTAAAGCCATCTACTAACAGCCCAAACTTGTGTGATTACATAGCAGGCAAAACCTCACTAATTAACTTACTAATATTGATATTGTTTCCTGATTGCTTATTTGTATCCTCTGACCATCTTTAAGTGTTGTACCTTATGATTCTTGATGAACCTATCTTGTCTTTTTATGTACACTGAGAACATATGCACCAGAGACAAATTCCTTGTGTGTTCAATTACACTTGGCCAATAAAGACTTCTATTCTATTCTATTCTATTCCATTCCATTCTATTCTATGGTAGGTAAAATGCACTTATTTCATTTTCAAATACCTCATCTTGACAGTGAAAATGCAGTTTTGAGGGGTGTACTGAGTTTTGGGGGGGGAGATGCTTGGAATGAGGCATTTCATACTTGAACTGTTTCAGAAGGAACGCTCTTGCATGCTTTTACTAAGCAGCCATCCTAAATCACAGACTGAATCAAATTAAAGACAATGTTTTATTTCCCCATCTCAGCAAATCAGGTGAGGTTCTACGAAAGTTCTACAAGCTTTATGAAGTTGTCTAGGAAGAGAAATGAAAGCCAGATGATGAGCCAATTTAAACTGCACGATGGAAAAAAATAACAATTCACTAACCTAGCTACAAGCTGGAGTATTTCTCGAAATCTCAAATCTAAATACCCTCATTTCCCATGTGCTTTCCTGTTTGTTTGTTTTTTTTACAACACCTGACGGGGTCCACCTGGTGGAACAGCTGTGTTACTCACCTACATCCCCATCTACCATATTTATCCTGTCAGTTTAAAAATAATTTCAACAGAAACAGTAGGACGTCATGGAGGCAAAAGATGCAAAGTTTAGTTTCAGACACAGAGGGGGAAAAAACAAATCAGTCTAACCACCTGAAATATCAGAAAGGGGGGGGGGGGACACCCTATGGTTCTCTAAGCAGGGGTCTCCAACCTTGATAACTTTACGACTTGTGGACTCCAACTCCAACTCTAGATACAGGTAGTCCTTGACTTACAACCACAATTGAGCCCAACATTTTGGTTGCTAAGCAAGACAGTTGTTAAGTGGGCATTGCCCCATTTTACGACCTTTCTTGCCAGCGTTCTTAAGTGCAGTTGTTAAGTTAGTAACATGGCCGTTAAGTGAATCTGGCTTTCCCATTGACTTCGCTTGTCAGAAGGTTGCAAAAGGGGATCGCGTGACCCCGGGACACTGCAACTGTCGTAAATACGAACCAGTTGCCAAGTGTCTGAATTTTGATCGTGTCACCATAGGGATGCTGCAATGGCTGTGTGAAAAATAGTCATGTCACATTTTTCAGTGCCACTGTTATTTCAAATGGTCATTAAACAAATGGCTGTAAGTCGAGGACTTTCTGCATTGCTGAGGCAGAATTCCCAGCAGCCAATGCTCCCGAGAAAAACACACGGACACATCCATGTAATCAGCCGGAATCAAGGAAATCTCCATTCCTTCATTTCAATCCTATTAGCATCCTATAACAATTCTAAAGAAAGCCACAATCCGAACTTTCTTCGCTTTGGAGCGTTAATGTATATTTTTAAAAGTTTCCCCCTGAAAAATACGACAAGAAAACCAAAACTTTTGCCAAAGACAAAACGTAATTTACCATTTTAAGCTTTAAAAAAAAAACTTTCAAAATCATGTTCTCAACCAAGGCACCATGTAGGCATGAGTCCACAGGAGAAGTGAAAGGGCACCAAGTAATAAATTCTGTTCCCTGCAGCCTTCCTTTAATAGCATGGAGTGCAAAAGAGAAAGTTCTAATGTACATTCCTACAGATTCCAATCTGAAGCCTGTCTAGCAATGCTGGAAATAGAAGGTTGGGGCCAGAATTCTAAAAAGCATAAAAAGATGAAAGTCACAAGAAAATCCTGCACTTACATTAAAATTGGAGCTGCATTTCTCACCACTGTATATATATTTTTCTGAATAAGAGTTCGTGCTGAATCAATGATGACTTCAAACTTGATAAATTTAAATTGCATTTTTTCGTAACTGCATTACAATAACAGTTGTATTGATACCCTGTCTACCACTTAGTCTCTTGGTTTATAGGCACAAGTCAGACATGTTTTTCATTCTTTCCTTTCTTCAAAAAAAAAATATTATTGATCTCCAGCTAACAGCCTGCTTTAATTATGATTGAACTTTTAATGTGCCAGTTTTAAATGGCAATTTCTATTTAGTTTCACAATTTTAAATCATTTTGACACCATTGTACATTATCATGTAAATATGATTTATTAATTTATTTTGATATAGGTGTAGGTAGCATGAGCATCTCAATGCTGACTGGGGAATTCCAGCAGTTAAAGTTCGCACATTTTGCCAAGGTTGAGAAGTCAGATAATATAGCACAGTCATGGTTTCACTTAGCAACTTATTCACTTAACTGAGTTGCCAGTCTCGTTTGTGGTCACTAAATAAGGAAGATCGGTTAGCTTGTGATGCAGGCTGAATATCCACATAGATGTTTCAGTGCTTTCTAATGGCGAAGCTCTCTATATCTGGAATAAATCTAGCTTTATGTGTTTGAAAAATCAATGTATACTTTGGATTGTAATTCTATTTTTATTGTTTTTTAGAAATACATTTAATTTTTATGGTTTTATAGCTTTTAATGTTGTTAAGCCATCCAGAGTCACTTCGAAGCAAGATGGGTGGCAAACAATTTAATAACTAAATAAATAAAATAAATAAGTATACAATACTTCAGAAACAAGTTCCAGAGTGTATAAGAAAACTCCAAAGAATTTGTCAAGGCTCCACTATTATACCTTTAATTGTCCATACAGAAGGAAACACCGAGATTATGTTGGCCAGTGGTTAGATTCACATGTCATTCTAAGCCATAACAATGCTTTAGAATCTGCAATGGCTGTGTTCACTATTAACACATTAAACCAAATGTCGGGCACATCATATTATGGCTCTGTAGTGAATGACACCAACCAGAGTCTCCCGCTCAAAAAAACAAAAAAGTTTACCAATACCTGACTTTGTTTGCCTGGTCCTCCAATAATTCTCCAACCCAACTGCAGAAAAGAGGTAGCCCACAGACCACCATGTGGCCAACCAAAACACTCATAGCCACCTAAGTCACCCATTTCCCCCTCTGAAAACCCCACAAGAGCAAGCTCATTTGGGATCCTTGCCCACTTCTGAAATGAAAATCTTAGCACATCAGACCAAGCTTACCATGGGGGTTTTGAACCAACCATGGCCTGAACTCCTGTTCAGAGCAACAGACCACTAAATCTATCTTACTTTAAAGACACAGACCTTTAGAAGATAAGACTTCGGATTTCCCCTTCCTCCCAGAACCCACCCCAAGCATCCATTTCCATGCACCCAAGGAGAGGTGGGCCTTGACAAGCAAGTCACCAGGCTACATCAAGGAATTTTCAAAAGTAGATCATGATATCACAAAAGGACCTGCTCTTACATAATAGTTTAAAAAAAAAGCTCAAGGCTATGCCTACAAGCATAGCAAGAGATCTTAAAATAATATGAAAGCTGTTCGTGGGGTTATATATATTTTCTCTCAAAGCAAAATTTGTTTTTGTTTTTTATTGCCTTGACTTGTCTATGTCCATCTCAAATAATAAATATAACAAATTGTTCCAGATGGGCATGCACTTCTACGTTATCACAAGTTTGCAGTAGTGTATTTTAAAAAAAGAAAAAGAAATATGAATCTCCAAAAAGACACAAAGGAACCTTAAACATCTAACAAAACACCACCGGCACTTTCTCCTCCCCATAAATCTATTACCAAGTTATCAACTAGGCAACAAAGTTGCAATATGAAAGTAGTGTGAAATTATCCCAGTGGATCAATCCATCCAATTAATTTTTAAAAAATCCCAATTCATATTAAAGATCCTGCAAAATAAAACTGAAATGCCACTGATATTTTCTGTGTTTCTAAATATGTCCTATTTAGAAATATTGCCAGAGAGAGAGAGAGCGCGCTACTTTATTATAGCAAAACAGTGTCCATTTTACTACCTTTTAGAAACAAATATGAAAGATGCTGCATTTCATCCATCATTACACTTGGAAGTTTCTTAGAATTGGAATCAAGATGGGAAAACACAGATCTTTCTCAACCATTTAAATCTCATATACTTTCCCCCCTCCCTTGTTTTTTTTTTTTTTTAAATGCCTTATGCTTTTTCCTGGTCTATTTCTCTCACCCATCCCAAAAGAAGCACAGCACAGTAGATAACAGGAAACAGGAACCACAAGAGAGTGCATTAATTCATTCTGCGTACAATATACCCACACAAGGAAAGAAAACTTTGCAGAACCAACCCCTCTGCGGAAAGGCCTAATTAAAAGTATAGAAGAGGAAGAGTGAAAGAAAAACCGTTTGAAATCACTCACTCACACAGGCCTGGTGAGCACCACTCTGCCAACTTTACGTGGACACTTTCGAAATATACCTGCCCAGGTGCATAATCACAAAATGAAAGTAACTTCTAAGGCTCCTAATACAAAACAACAACTATCTGTCCAACTACTCATGCGATGGACAACCTTTCCCCCATTCTCCCCACCACCACACCCAACAAAACCACCAGAGGGGAAACTCCAACCCTTTTCAAATCTATGCCTTGGAGGAAAAGCTGCCACCAGAGGAAGGAATCACAACCCTAATCTATGGAGATTCTCAATCACCCAAGTCGTAATTTTCCCTGTTTCCCCCCAAAAGGCAACTGGACTCTTTTGGGCTTTATTTTTTCCTTTCTTTGAAAACGTTTTGCTTCTCCTCATCCAATAAACTTCTTTTAATTCCATCCAGTACAGAAGAAGCTTCTTGGATGAGAAGAAGTGAAACCTTTTCCAAGAAAAACACCCCAAAAAGTCCATTTGCCTTTTGAAGGAGGAGGGGGGGAGGAGGAAGAGAGGGAGGAGGAGGAGCAGGAGGAGG